TCACGGAAATCAGGCTCACAGCGGCGCTTGACATCAGTCTGGAACAAAAATTCCTTGACATTCCGTCAAAAGGAGAAGGCAAACGATAAATCCAAGGGCGCGCGCCGCCAGCTTGTCATGCCTGTCGCTCCCTCTCCCGGTCCTTCCTCTTTCCCGGTCCTGCATATCATTCTAGCCGGGCCGCCCACTCCCGCCTGCCATCTGAACTCCTTGCCAGTCCCAACCGCGAGGACTCTATACGTCGCTGTCCACTCGCTACAGTACCTTTCCGTAATTCGTTGGTGTAATGGACAACATACCTGACGTGGAATGAAACCCGGTCTGCGTTACTCACCCAGGCTATGTGTGATTGCTTCTGGAATTCGGCTGACCTAACAACGGAGGCAGATAGATGCACCATCTCTGATGATGCACATACAAAAAGAATAACTATGTAGGACCAAGACAAGGAACAAATCACCACATGAACCTCTGTAACCGCCCGCCATCCAACATCTCCCCACTGGCAGTCTTCCAGTAGAACGGCTTGAAGAGGAACATGTACATGGTCCCAATGTTGATGGCTAGGAACCAGACCGTCTCCAAGGCCAACGCCGCGTCGGTTCTGCGGATGATATTCCAGAGGAGCCCCTTTTTGTTATCGGTTTGTTGCTGTCGCGCCACAGGGGCAGCAGCATTGCCATCATCGTTGCCGCTGTCAGTGGTAGAAGACGCAAACGAAGAAGAAGAACCGGAAGAGATAAGAGACGAAGACAGCGGCATAGCAGGTACCAACAACCGATAAAACACCCACGGCAAGATAAAGTACCTTGGCTCGACCAGGGGCGCAGTGACGAGAGACAGGGTGGTGGTTAAAAGCCAGAGAAGAACAGTAGATGTGGGCGGGGAGGAAGTGGCGGGGCTAGGTTGGGTAGAGGAGAGGGAGAGGGTTGTGTAGGCGCCGCCGATGAGCCATTCTTCTTCTTCTTCCTCTTCTTTTTCCTTCTGCTTGTCCTTTGTCTTCTTGTGTTCGTCATTATTTATCCTCTTGGGGCCGTAAAAGTCCTGAGTAACAAAAGGTGATGCAGAAAACTCATCCCTCCACTTCAGCTTATTCTCCGTGATCTTCAGGTTCATCTCGCCCTCGAGATCTCGCAAAGGAGGATTATTCCCCTCGAGCCGTTTCCAGATGAGCCATCGCGACAAAGTGTAGGCCGCTACAAGGGCGAGGCGAACCGAAGAGGAGCGGAGGATGGTGTACCGGAAGATGTAGAAAATGTAGTGCCTGTTGTCGGCGAGGGTGAAGGGGTGGATGATTGTGTTGTAGTGGATGATGGCGGCGGAGAGGAGGATGGTAGCGAGGATGTAAAATGGGTAGTAGAGTTTGCGGGAGAGGACCAAGTCGAGGATGAAGCGGAAGCCTCGGCCTGGTGAGTTCGTGTCGGGGGAGAAGGAGGAGGAGGCGGGAGTTGGGCTTGATCTTTGGGGCGGTTTAGTTGTTGAGGATTTCTGGGATTTGATTAATGGGTTGGTAGATCTCCATGAAGAGCGGCCTGGGTCTTTGGTAGTTGTGTGTGAAGGCGTGGTAGATTTGGTGCGAGTGGTGAGACCTGCTAGGGTAGAAAGAACGCAAGGGATGAGAAGAGGGGCAGAGAAGAAGACAAAGAAGGGCCAGATGTAGAGCATCTGGGGGAGATGGATCGTGGCGATATGGTTGGATTTATCTCCTACAAGTTGGTTAGGATCCAGTGGTTCACCAATGTCGAGGTAAAGAGGGACAAACCAAGTACCACGCCCCCATTCCAAGCCACGAACCCAGCAAAGAGGCCCATGATGGTGATATGCGGCCACACCTGTCTCAACACCCTGAGCGGGTTGCAAAGAGCAGCGATGCCGATACTCAAGAGACACAACGCCCAATCTGTAGAGATAGCATCAGCATCATCCTCCTTCAGGTACAGGTAGAGCGGGTAGGCATACCATCAGGCCAGGCCATATCAACCGGTGGATCATGCACATCACCCACCGCATACCTCCTCAACCAAAAACCGAAGGAATCTCGGATGTTTTCTAAGACGAAGTCCGGAGTGTCATTCTTAGAAACAGGCTTTGGCTTCAGTCCCTTGACCACATGCGCAGCCTCCAGACCGCCCATGTACACCACCACCCAGAAAACATTCGTCTGCCTCATAAAGAGCGCGGCGACGCCCAAGACAACAGTCCAAAGACCATTGAGAAACCCCGGCTTCTCGGAATGAGAAGCCACCCGGTTTAAGTGGTTCCGGTATGCCACCAACATCACCAGAGTAGACGCGACGTCTGTGTAGTAGAGTCCCAAGAAGAAGAATATGACGGGGAACAGAGCAATGTTGATGGCGGTATGATAAGCGTAAAAGGAAACAGCACTCTTTTCTGTCCCAACCGCAGTCTGGGCCTCGATCCTTCGTCGACATGACAGAGCAAGGAGGGCTATGAGGAGGGTGGCGACGAGGTTGTTGGAGCGCAGAGAAGATGGAGTGCACTCGGCCAGACGCATGAGTTTGTGCCAACCTACGGAGAGGAGGTACAGTCCCGGGGGAGTGGTGATTTTGTTGTCCCACTCATGGTAGCGGCCTTCGCAGTATGTTTGGGCTTGGGGGATGTGGAAGACTTCGTCCTATTGCAGGTGGGATGTTAGTGACTGAACCTAGGCCGTAGCCAACGGGGGTTTCTTACCAGGTAAGGCTCAGGGGCATAGTGGTTTACGAGAGCTAGCCACGAGCGAGCAAAAAAGTAAATCAGAATAAAGCCGCCGGCTGTGATGAAGGAAGAGCCCTGGGATTTTGAGTTGCTTATTGTAGATTGGGTAAGCTTGGCTAGAAGAATTGAGATGGCCAGCCCTCTCAGCACCTCGTTGAACGTGGAGGTCTCCAGGAGGACACGTAGAGCATCCATCATGAAGAAATTGAGGATTGAAATGAGAAACGAGCGGACGTCATATCCTCGTGAACATAGGATGATATGACACAGTAAGGTAGAAGCCCGAATGATGAGGAGACGAAGCTTACTACCTACCTAGGTTTCCCTCTTACAAATTAATGTTGTAGTTGGCGTGGTTGTATGTACAAGTGTTAGTGATCCGGGACATCTCACTGGTGTTGAGAATGCGTCTTGGCAAGGAGCTGTTAATGACGACCCCACCCCCTAGAATAGAGGCCCAAGAGGGTCTGTGCGCATCATCCCATCATGAGCTACGGGACGTTTGATGTCAAAAACGTTCTAGAATTTGATGTCAAGCCGGGAACTCGTCTTTCAGATCTATGTGCACCCACATACTGTCGACTAGGAGGGGTACGATGGCCTGATGTGTAGTCGTCTATAATATACTGTATCTTATACAAGCCGTGTCATACGACAGGCGCGTGTCCAACCAGACAACATACAGCCCCAGCGCCCCAAAATCCCACCATGCCCTCCGTGGTATCAAAGAGATAATTTAGAACGGCTATCATGTGTTAGCTACAGTCTTACTGATATGCCGGAGAAATGTTATAAAACTCACGTTGTCAGAGGCAGGGATCTCGTTGACGAAGTACCTCTCGCCGAGGTAGGGGATGCGCTGTGTGTGGCTGTTAGTTAACTGATACCGATGCTCTCAGGACCAGGGGGTGCTCTTTGTACCTGGAGGACGTCTCTGCGGAGACGGGGAATGCCGGAAGCGTAGTAGACGACGGCGAAGAGGGCGACACCAGTCCAAGCAGCGGCCTGGGGGAGGCTATAGAGACTAGTTAGCCGTTGGTCACGGTTTTGGTCCGTTCCACGTCCTCTCAAGAACATGACCGCTCCTCCAAAGTCAAACGTGTGGCCCTCTCTTTCAGCATAACAGAACTGTTGCACCGATCCCTTATCCTTCGATCTTCCTGACCCATACTCCTGGGACTTTGAGGAATTGGTCCCTCCTCTGAAAGCTCCCCCAAAGCTCCCATCCCAAAGCCTCCATAGCTCCCAGCGACCTCCAAACCAAATCAATTCGCGGAAAGGTAACCTACATTCTGTAGAGTTGCTTGGGAGTGATGCCATCGATGTGAGGCTGGTACTGGTACCTAATTCCGACGCATCAGCAGCTTGTTCCTGAGCTGTTTTCCCGCCTGTACAAATCGTGCCGGTAGGCGGTCGCTGTGCGGGCGAGATCGTCGTTTGGTGGTCGCTTACTTAGGGCCGTAGGGGCTCTTGTACGCAGGGTACGCAGAGCGGAGGATGGAAGTCTGAATTCGCGAGGCTCGAAGTTAGCTCCATATTATTCTGTCGTCATGCGGTGATGATGTTCGGCGGGATTCAGCTAGCTGGGCATCGCTTGTCGCAACGTGGAAATGCGACGCTGTTCGAAGTGGAAAATCGGGGGCATATAGGGAGCTGCGTGGCACATACGGCGAACATCTTGGCTGTAGCGTCGAGATCGAGCAAGCTGGTGCTTCAATGGCTGCAACAAGATCTCGAACTAGGAGCTGGTTTTGGATGGTCCGCGATGCGCGAGATTCTTTGCCGGACGAAGCCGGGATCGCTTTGCGGCCTCAGGCACCAATCAGAAGCTTGATGATTCGCAGTTTGTTATATGGAGCCTTTGCCGGCCGGCAGCTTGAAGCCTGGGCCGACGGGAAGAGTGGATCCTCTTTTGAGAGTTGCATCCCTGCAGGTGGTGTGGTCACAGCGAGGCCTGGCGCGCACCTCAACGGCGGATCGCAGCACTGAAACGCCCCACCATCCATCATCGTCGACTTTCAAGCTCCGAGACCGAATCTTTCCACTTCAAGATTCGTTCGCTCACTGAGTAGCGACAGCAGACTCCTATTGGCGTGGTCGCGCTTAGCTTCCACCTTGAACGACGGCACTGTTTCAAGGATATTCAACTGACTTCCACTACTTACCGTAATTCCATCATCGTCACTCCTAATCCGAGCCCGTTATTGAAGACACACGAACGCGGGTCTTCCAACCACAGCGCAAAACGACCGCGCTGAACCTCCAAACACCCCATTCATAACATGGACAAATACCTCGACAGCCGCTTCGAGCGGGTAGAAAAGGCCCTTGCCACCTTCATCGACTCAATTGCCAAATACAACCCCTCCGAGAAGCTTGCCGAAGACCTCGTAGCCGCCGACCGCGAGCTCGCCGCCGGCCTGAAAGAGCTCGAGCGCCACCAAAATAACCATGCGCGCATCCTCCAGCTACGACAAGAGACCGCCTCGCTCGACCAACAAACCAAGGACATCATCGGCGGACTCTGGAACATGCGCAAGGAAGTCAAATCCACACCCGCGACGCAGTACCCTGCCACCGGCCCCAAGTACCAGTTCACCACGCACGAGCTGCTCAACTACGCCAAGCGCATAAGTCGCACCACGCTTCCGCCAGCACACCTGCTTTATAACAGCGAACCTAGTGAATCTCAACAAGCAGGAGGACAAGGAGGACAGCCAATGGAAGTCGACTCGGCAGCACAAACCCCAATGCCCGGCCTTGGCGGCGGAACCGCAACAGCAGCCGGCACCCCCGCCGCCAGCGCGGCCCCCACACCCGCCGCTTCGGGACCTTCTGGACCCGGCCCTGTCACCACAAGCACAGCCCCCTTCTCCCAACCGCCACCTCCACCTTCAGCCAACCAAACCGCCCTTCCCGAAGACTTCAAACCGCACATCAACCTCTTAACAGGGTACCAATTCCACCCCTGGCCAACGGAGGACAAGGTGCGCATGGGCGGCATGGCCGCCTACCAGTCACTGGTTTCGCGGGCCGTGGATCCCAAGGGGTATGATCCAGAGGAAGAAGAGCGAAGAAAGAAGGAGGAGGAGGAGGCAAGGAAGGAGGCGGAGGAGCGGGCGATTCGGGAGAGGGAAGAGGAGGAAAGACGTATGCGCGAGGAGCGCGAGAGGATGGCGAGGGAGAGGGAGAGGGCGAGACGGGAGGAGGCAGAGAGGAGTGGAAGTATTTCGGGGCCGGCTGCAGGCGCCCCGGCTGCGGCGGCGTCCAGTGCAGGTGGTGGTGGGAGGAGTCAGTTTACTTTCTTGGATGGGATGGATGATGACGATGACGATGATGAGGACTAGACTCTGGGCTGGCTGTGGAGGTGATGAGTGGGATAGGGTGGGGAAAAAATGGCGTTGTTTGATACCCAAGATTGGCGTTGCAGGTGAACTGGAATCATTTGGAAACCATACTTTGCATGCGACAGCGAAGCTAAGAGATATTGAACATATAGCTCTTGCTCCCACGAGCAGATATTGATCTTTCCAAGGTTAAATAAAAGGCTAAATATGATGATACACAAAAATCAGGATACCATCCATCCTCGCGCCCAATTACCCCCAGTCGCCTTTATTTTCTCTAAGCCAGATCAGGGTAGCCGTCCAACTCTACCTATGTGTTGTACAGCAAGACTTTTCTTCGGCGTGTGCCTAACTCTCATACCCCCACCCCGCTCCTAATGGTGATAACCACTCAACCTCCATGTTCATGTACTCCTACCCTCCCCTAAGCTCGATTAATCGATCTTGATGGAAGAGTAGATCTTGCGAACAAACCACCAGCTGGAGAAGAAACCAATCGAGCCTGTTGCCTGTCAGTCAGCAAACAGTACCATGCCTGGAGAAAGCGTGAACAACTTACCAGTAAGGATGAAGAAGAGGAACGAGATCAACGCGCTATAACCGATATACAGCACACTGCCGGCAAGCCCGCTCAGCGAGAGCTTGCTGGCCCAATAGATAAGGGCATTCAAGAAGATATAACCAGCGCTCGCACCCGCCGCCAAAAAGGCGCGCCACTGCCAGTTATAGTTCTCAGCGCAAAGCAAAAAGTACACCATCAAGATGGTAACGGTGGCGCAAGTGAGAATCATGAGGCCGTAGCACAGGAACAGGAAGCCAAACATGTAGTAGATCTTGCTGAACCAGATGGAGCTCATGATGAAGTAGAGCTCCACGAAGATGGCGCCAAAGGGCAGGATGCCAACTAGGAGCATGCTTGGGATTGGCTTCAGGTACGTGGTCACGGGCGGGATTTGGCGTGGGATCTGGTTGGTGCGCACGGGCGGTTCCATGGGGGCGGCGCGGAAGCCGAGCCAGGAGCCGGTGACGGAGAGCGGGACCGAGATGATGAACCAGATCAGGATGATGACGAGCATAGTCGTGAAGGGGACGGCGCCCGAGGACTCCTTAGCCCACAGGAAGAGGTTCAAAAGGAAGAAGGTGCCGAAGACGATACCGGGCACCAGGACGGGGGTCAGGATGATGTTCATCTTCCACTTCTCGCCGCCCATGGACTTGTAGATGCGTGCAGAAGTGTAGCCGCCCACGAAGCCGAGGATGGTGTAGAGGAAGAGGATGATGGTGCCAAGAGAACCACGGTTGGACGGGGAAAGGAAACCCAGAAGAGCAAAGGCGATGGTGAAGCCGGTCATGACAAAGAGCTGGGCACCGTTACCGAGAAAGACGGAGAGGAGCATAGGGTAGGAGGGTGTTCGGAACACATCGCCATGCACGAGCTTCCAGCCGGAATCCTCCTGAACACCGTCCTCGAGAGCAGAAGTCCCAGAGAGATCGTCCAAGTTGATCTGGTCGAGCCTGTTGTAGCGGGCAATATCCTTTCGCAGGGCACGAACCAAAACGGACACGACAGTCAGGGTGAGGAATACGACGATGACGGCCGAGTTGATGAGCGAGAACCAGTGAATCTTGGGGTCGAACACGTGAAGATACTTGTCCCAGCGAGTTGCCCAAGCAGTCTGGGAAGGAATCCAGTAGACACTGTAGGTGAACTGCACCTTTGTCTCGCCGTCCTCCTTGAGCTCAAGCGGTTCAAAGTTCGACAGACAAACATCGGTGCTCTCCTTGGGAATATCCTTGGTGTACTTCTTGGACTCTGGCTGTACCAAAACGCCAACAACACGAAGCTGATCTGGGTTTCCGCTGACCTCGTGGTACTCGATAAGGATATCGTAATGATTGTTGAAGGTAACATGGTCTTCCGCGTCAACCTGGCCCATGAGGAAGCCGGGGTTATAGAACTCGGTGCCCGTCAACTCGTCCTTGATTCTCTGTCCTGCGGGAAGCCCGTCCACGAGCCAGTTGAGGCTCATGCCCTGCCTGATCTTGTCGTTCACGTAAAAGGCAACCCCTTGCTTGTATGTGGTCGGACATAGCATCTTGCAGGTTTCGTTTTGCTTCATCTTCAGCTCGAAGGGCGATGTCTTTATCCGGTCTCCGAACAGGATGCTTCCCAAGCTCTCACCCACGCTCTTGGGCCCTCCTTCGGGCTGGCAGAACTGGAAATGAGGTTGGTAGTAGTCATAGGAAACGACCGAGTGTAGAAGCGCATCGGGGGCGGCAACCGGCCGTATCGAGTTTACGTAGAGAGGCACCAGCTCGCCTGGCTTATAAGTCGTCGGCGCGACACCGGGAAGATAGAAAGCGGATGCGATTTGGGGTGCTACAAGCAGCGAAGCTAATAGCGCCCCGGAGGGCGCGTGGTTCTTGAGCTGCATCGTCGGCCCGGCGATAGGATAACTGTATAAAGGTAAGGTTTACCAAGCTGATAACAATGGTCCTTAGGTAGGTAAGTTCCGGTTAGCCTGGCCGTAGCTGATGATGGCGGTTGGGGAGGGGACAAACGAGTCGGACACGTACTTGTGGTAGGTGTTCTGGGTGGATAGATACCAGCTATGTGACCGCAACCCCGAGAGTCGGGAAAATGTCCAGGAGCCGTTCAGGAGGCGTGGGAGAGTGTCGGAGAGGACCTTCTGCGTGGGTATAATTGCTAACAATGGCCGATTCAAGGTACCAGGATATTGTGATCAGTGGGTTGTAGTGGGCCTACAGGTACGGGGGCGGGAGCGGGGAGGGAGCAACGAGGGCGTAGAACTAGTGTACAAGTGGAATGGAATGACAACCTTGACGGTTTCCCCAAGGTTAAGGTAAGAATGAGGGATCGAGAAGATAAAGATTCAGGGATGTGCCTTTGTTTGGAAGGTGGGAGGTCACTGGCGTCGATTGGGACCTATGTTGTAAGTAAAACAGCTGGTGTTTTGTGTTTGTCGATGGGAAAGAAGAGAAGAAAAAGCCAGGATGAACAGCTGCCCGTCTGAAGTGAAATGGAACTCCCGTCAGGGCGGCAGCATGGACAGAGACCTGGAGGGATGCAATGAATGGAATCCTTGTCGACGAGCCTGAACACCTGGACGCTGTGAACAGAGCACCGCGCTGTGTTGGAAGCACTGCCGCAGGAGAGTGCACTGGCCGTGGAATTCCATTGAATCGAGCCAGCAAATCACACCAATCATAGCCCTCTCTGTTTCAAAGGCCAACCCATCCATTCTCGCCCCTGACAAAATTGTTGAGACCTTTGACCTTGTACCTGGGGTATACTCTTACTACCTATACACATCTAAGTTTTCATTACACCTTTGAACTTGTTTCTCAGGCAATTCCTGAATGTAGATATCCCAAAGAAACTCTGGCCGATATTTCCTGAATCATTTTAATCCCTATCATAAGTTTGCAACGCACTCTCTTCACTACAATGAGCGGTATCGAACTGGTTTATTCGACCACGGGCAGTTGGTCGATCGTCCACTGAGTAAAAGGTCTCATTGATTTTGTCTTGGACGAGCCACTGCAGCTGATGAATGTGGGGCCGCCAAGTTTCCATAGTGTCCGTTCACCCCTTGTACGCCTTGCCAAGCCCCCAAAACCTTATCCACTCAGGTGCATTTGGCATGGCAAGGGCGGCACCGGCAGGCAAAAAAAAGTTCCCCAGAAGAATTTCTCTGCATCTGATCGCAACGGGACACTGACCTTATCACCACCAGCCAAAAACTGACGGTCCTGTCTCGAGATTGACATCGGTACGAGACACATCACTCAACCGCAACAAACATGGCGGCACCAGCAACCCTTCCAGCCCTGCTGGACACCCTTACCAAGTCTCTGACTTCCACCCTCGAACTCGCCCCCAAGCTCTCGACTGTTGACCCTCCCAAGGACGGTATCTCTCTCCTCGACGTCAAGAACGAGCTCCTTCTTTCCTACCTCCAGAACCTCGTCTTCCTTATTCTCCTGAAGCTTCGCCAGGCCCGCACCGGCGCCCAAAAGAAGAAGAACAATGGCGATGATGGAGAATCGAACGACCAAGACCTAGACGACTTGGTGGTCAAGAAGCTCGTCGAGCTCCGTCTCTACCTGGAGAAGGGTGTCCGCCCGCTTGAGGACAAGTTGCGCTACCAGATCGACAAGGTTTTGCGTGCCGCCGACGACGCTGAGCGCAGCGCCAAGCAAGCCGAGGCTGCTGCGAAGGCCGCCGAGGAGCCCGACTCTGAGTCCGAGGCCGCTGAATCTGGCGACGAGGAAGAAGCCGCTCCCTCGGGCCAGAAGCTTTCCGACCTGCAATTCCGCCCCAACATCTCCTCGTTTGTCCGCAACTCCGGCGCCCCTGGTAGCGAAGAAAAGCCCAAGATTGGTGTGGGCAAGTCCACCGATGCCTCGGGCGTGTACCGCCCTCCGCGCATCGCGCCGACTGTTATGCCGACGACAACGACGGAGCGCCGCGAGCGCGCGGGCGACAAGAAGCAGCTCAAGAGCGCGACGCTCGACGAGTTCATTGCGGACGAGATGTCGACGGCGCCTGTGGCCGAGCCCAGCATTGGTACGACCATTGTCAACTTTGGCCGGCGCACCAAGACGGCGGCGGAGCGCAAGGTGGAGGAGGAGAGGCGCACGTACGAAGAAACCAACTTTGTGCGTCTGCCGACGGCGGGCAAGAAGGACAAGGCCAGGCAGCGCGCGCTCGAAGGCCGCAGCAGCAAGATGCAGTTTGGTGGCGAGGACTGGCGCGATCTTGGCGCTGGCGTGGACCGTATCAACAGACTTACCTCTGGTGGCCGGGATCGCAAGGGGACCAAGGCTCTGTTGGAGAAGAGCAGGAAGCGTGGCTTTGATACCACTGATGGACCTAAGGGCAGTGGTGATGGTGGATTTGGTATGGGTGAGCGGTTCCAGAAGAGGGTCAAGGTGATGGAGGGTGGCAGGAGAGACAGGGGCAAGAAGAGGTGAAGAGGTGGTTAAGAACACATCTTTTGAATTTGGTTCTATTCATTGTCGTTCTCGGCCCTCTATACGGGTCATCATATCAATGAATTCAATTGAATTCTCTTCTCAACACCGTTTTACTTTAATTTTTCTTGACCATCCATCATTACTGCCTGTTCCGATACGAAACATTCAGCCTTATTCATCGCCCTTTATCACCGACTCTCAGGTGACAATACGCATAGTCCTCCCGCGAATCTCCTCTTCACGCACATGGCGTACTCCATTCGCCATGGTACCCTGATCCTCCGCCTCTCTAGCCTGCAGTCTGTTGCGGAGTCTCTCCTCAGCCGCAACCACCTTCATAGGCAAGTTCTCGCCCAGACCAAAAAAGACAAAGAACGCCCACTTCCAGCGGAACGGGTTGATAGCAACGCAGAAGAAGAACCACCACATGAGCTCGAGGTACGTAAAGAACTCGAACGGTCCGACAGGGCTCCTCCGCTTCAGGAAAGCCGTCATGTCAATCCACCGCTTCATCCAGAACGTGCGAGGACGAGCGCGGTCATCAAGCAAGAAGACCAACAGCAGCCTCGTGTAGATGCCAATGTGCCAGTTGCCCACCGATCCGATACCATTCATGTACGTGCAGTTGATGGCCGCCACGCTCGGGAACTGCGGCGGGAAGGTCTGCAGGTACCAGTTGGGCGGTTTGTAGTCCCCCTCCAGACACTCCTTGGGCAAGAAGTCCAGCTTGGGCCTTTGGAATCCCGTAGCCATGATCACCATATCGCCCTTGATCTCCTCTTTCTGTCCCGCATCTTTGGGATTCGTTCCCTTTTCGCGGCGATTGATCTTGACTCCGTTCTCGGTAAACCCGTCAATGTCGCAGCGCAACCACTTCACCTTGCCACTACGAATCTGATTCATAACCTCCGAGTTGACCATGGGCGTGTCGGTGAAGAGCCCCTTCTTGCCCGAAGGCGGGGCAATATCTTCTAGCTCCCGGTAGAACAGCTTGCGAAGGAAGAATTCGGGGATCCAGCTGAACCGGGTCTCCTGGCCGAAGATGTTGAGCGCCAGCAGCATGTCGACGACAGGGTTGCGGGGGATGATCCACTTCTCGGAACGAGCGAGGACGTATACCTGAGCGGCGCCCTCCTCGACAGCGTATTCAATGCTCTCAACGGCACTGGCGCCGCCGCCGATGATGATCACCGTCTTGCCCTTGGCGGCCTTACCGGTGAGCTGGCTCGAGTGGTGGATCTCGCCCTGGAAGGAGTCCATGCCGGGGATATGGGGAATCTGGGGGCGACCGCAAGTGCCGACGGCGCAAATAATGCCGTCGAATTGGCCGTAGGTCTCGGCGTCATTGTTGATGATCCATTTCTTGGTCTCGGGATGCTGGCGGGCGCTGGTGACGGGCGTTTCGAAGACGGTGCGCTCGTCAAGGCGATAACGCTTCCAGAGCTCGCGAACTTGGGAGAGAATTTGCTGCTTGTCCGGGTAACCTTGCTTCCAGTTGACTGAGGGATGGAAGCGGTACATGAGGGAGTGGATCTGTAGGCCGGAGGTGTTGTTTACTCTCTGCACGATAGGAGAAGGAAGAACTGGTCAGAGATCGTGGTTGCTTCGTCGCGTTGTTGACTTGATCACTTACACTCCAGATTCCTCCAATGTTTTCCTCCTTTCCAGCCTCAAAGATCCGAACATCGCATCCATGACCGACGCAGTGGGCAGCACTTGTAACGCCAGTGATACCACCACCAATGACTGCGATTCTGGGCCGACCAAGACGTGCCTTGGGACTCGGAGGTGTGGGTGATAGCAGCTTGTTCAGCACAAACTGGATGACTTGGAAGATGAAAAGTAGCGGGTGTAGGATGGGGTTCTGGACCCCCCTCGACTCGAGCGTCATCTTGAAGACGGTTTATGTCGATGAAGATGTTGCTGATTATGCGACGGTTTTCTTGTGAGACATGGGGTTAGTTTGTAAATGTCTTCGATGAAACACACGGCGTGAAGCTTTCTTTTTGTTTTCTTCTCTGTGGATTAAACTGGTTCCTGAATTTAAGCGGGACGGGATGCTTGACGTCATCGCGAGGAGAGCATAAATGTGCAGGTGAAAACCCCACTCCACTCTACACTACATAGATGCTTTCACAGGTCAACGTCAACACAGGTTAATGTAGGTAGAGGTAACCTAATGTTACTGTCATAAAGTTACAGACAGTTCGCTTGGATGCACCTGCCGCGGGGTATACATTAGTACTGATGTTGCTTTTATACCAGGCACTATTGACCTTGGTTTGGGCGTCGGACTTCTGGGAAAGACTGTTGGGCCCGTCTTGTTGCCTTCCTGTCACCGTAAAAATCAGCATGTGATAGGCCCCAACTTCGTCGCGCGTTTCAACACTTTCATTGAATCCTTGTAGAGTTAGGACAATTCGGAAAAGAAGCTCGTTTGGTGTGTTTAGGAGTACCTTGAAGAATACTGGACCAACTACTAAACAAGCCAGGCCGTGTTATAGTCTCCAGCCTCCGGGTTTTTGCGTCCTAACGAGCCGTTATCCTGTGGACATCCGCATCCCACTCGACCCCGCCATTAGGATCTGTCCATCAATGACACTGAGATCTGAAGCGAAGGAAATACGAATTACTGGGACTCCAACGGCTCATCTCCAACCCTCAGGTAAAACGCAGTTCGAGGCCATCCCATATCAACATCAGTGAAGTCGGACGCGCTGCATCACGATACCTCTAGCTCCCGACGGGGTTTCTTGCTTGAGCTGTTTGAAACATGCAATGTTAGCTGTCCCGAAATAACCTCTCTCCATTGACGTCGTCGTCATGCATGAGGCCCAGCTCTTAGAGTGCAGGGGATATGGGCTTCCTGTTTGCAGTCTTTACAACAACGCCACGTGGAGCCTCTGTGTGAGGCCCATTGATTACGATGGCTGCTGCTGCTAAGTGTGATGGCGAGCTTGTCGTCTTGAAAAGGTGAGGACCCCCGAGTGTGCCGACTATCTCCATACCACAGCACTCGCCATTTCCAGGTACGCGCCGTCTTCTATTGCCCTTCCCGGTGCCTTGTAGTAGGCACCATCTTCGTTTGTCTGTTTCTCTCACCTCTTTAGTTTTCCGTGATGACGAACTGACGTAAAGCATAAAAACGAGTTCTGTGGAATTGAACATCTCCTACCGTTGCTAACACCAAGTGCTTACAGGGAAACGCTTCACCATGCCGTCAAGCTGCTCTAGCTTATCATCTTTTGCATCAACCCTTGACAGCTTTGATTATCACAAACCTGCTGTCAGCACTTCTCATCCTAGGCGTGGTTGCGGGTCCGTCTGGATTTTGGAACAGGATTCTTTGAAAGACATGCCAGCCAATATCCAGGTCATGCAGGCCACTGGGTGTACGAACGCCGAAGCGGTCAGGTTACTGGAGGTAAACACCACCTCGTCAAGTACTAAAGGTCCCGACTAAGCAATTCTACTTCTTCCGCAGAAAACAAATGGCAACATCCACAAGGCCGTTGCCTGTCTGGTGAGTTAAGCCACTGGCGCAACGGTTGTCTAGTAGACCAAGCCCTACACCGGGATATAGCCAGAATGACTGACGTTGATATCAATCTTGGAAGCCCGGTAAAGATGAATGGGACTTCAACCTTCCTCGAGTAAAGGTACCCGAAAAATCCAGCAGCGCCATGGACTATGAGGATGGCTTCGCCACCCGCTATCGCACGAATTTGCGGGGTTATGAATTTACCTCTACGGAAAGTAACGGGCACGATACCGACGACCTTAGCCTAGATAAGCTGGTTGCCGATGTTCAACGTGGCGTATCCTGTACGGTGATTCGCAGTCAACTTACACGCTTTCGGGAGCGAATGGGGCCTGACAAGACTTGCCAACTGTTGAACGGTCTGGTTAAAGGATTTCCTGGATTGTTCTATGTTGTCCAAAGTCGGAATGTTGAGATGGTGAAAATGTGGGCAGAGTACGGAGGCGACGTCAACACTACATATGGAAAAAGTAAGTTTCCCCTCATTGCCTACGCTATCGTCCTCGGAACGTCGTATGCAACGGACACGACGGCGCTTCTCAAAGCACTTTTAAGTGCTGGCGCATCTGTGGCTTGCATTCCCGAAGCCTTCCACACGCCTCTCTCGCGAGACCTTATGGATGATGGTCCTCCGATTGAAGAGTCTGGTGAAATAGCTGGTGAACATCAGAAATGGTGTAGCCCCTATGTGCGGAAGCGACTGATGGATACTCTGAACTTCCGCTTTGAGCAACGATACTTTCTTCATCGCTCCGCTCTTCTGGGGCGCTTATCAGGTGCAAAAAACCAGGTAGCCAAGTTGCACAAAGCTGGGAATCTACTGGGTATCTACTACAACCTCATAGGTCAAACAGCCGCAATTACCCATGTCATCGATCACTTCATCAGGTATTAGAGCTTTTCTCATATTGTATCTCCCTTCCTTCCTTATCTTTCACATTCTGTCGTCTTCGTTATACCCAGCATCATACTCAAGGCTGTTTATGGGTGCTTACTTTGGGGTCCATTTTTGCTGACCCTGGCTGAACCTTTGAAGTCACTTCGCGCTTCAAAAGCAGAAGCAGGAGGAGAAATCGAAATCGATGGTCCTCCTATTTGCCGGGCCCAGCGGACACGGCAAAACTGAGTTTGCTCGCAGTCTTGGAAAACTTACCTCTAGAGACTTGGAAATGGTCGATTGCACCAGTATGCGATATAAGACAGATCTCTGGGGTCCTTTTCACCCATTCCAAGGGTGGGAAAACGGCTCTGCCCTCAGCAACTTTCTGGAGAACCACGCCTCCCAGGAGTGCATTGTCTTTCTGGACGAGTTCGAAAAGACAAAAGAAGAAGTACGAGAGTCGCTCCTCAAGCCCTTCGATGAAGGTATGTGCAGCTTATCCTCTCGGTACCAGGCATGCTGTTGACTCACTCATGAGTACCTACTTTTAGGCACCGTTCCCAGCCGCAAAAACCCTCAAGCAAAATTTGACTGTTCGAAGACCACCTGGATCCTCGCAACAAACGTGTTTGACAATATAATCCATGACTTCTGCAAGAGGCACGCAAAGGACCTGTTTTCGGACGAGTCAGGAGCAAAGGGACAGAAGCTTATCAGAAAACTTTCGAAGATGATACAGAAAGAGAGCATAGAGAAACTTGGAGTGAGTGTATTCCACGCATGCGAACGGCGTCTGCAAAAAGGATGGCCTGTTAAACTAGTAATGCTAACATATGATGGGTTTTGCCCGACAAGGCACCACTTTCTGGACGCATTTCCGAATTTGTCCCGTTTCTGACCTTCTCACATTGCGAGCAAGCTGCAATAGCGGACAGGCTCCTCGCGGATTTCGGTTGTGAGATAATTCAACCAGTCAAGGAGAGCACCGTACCAAGCCAGGCTCGGCTGGTGGGGGACATTAACGTCCAAGTTCGACGCAGCTACTCGGTTTGCAGAGCGTTGGTGACGGACGGCTACATTCCGGAGCTGGGGGCACGGAGCATTGCCAATACGGTGAACCGGGACATCAGCCTTCCCGTGGTGAACGATTATCTTGATAAGAGAGAGCAGCTTCGTGAGAACCAGGGGAGATGTACATATGTCGTTGGCGTAAACGAGGATGATATGATTGATGTGTCGGAGGCGCCGACGAATTGAAGGACATACTACATTATGGAAGAGGCCGTTTAGTTAGCTACTTATTGGGAGAGACTAGAATGGAAGGAAAGGGGAAGGAACAATGGGGGACACAGTAGTACGCCCGTCAGCTGCGTGTAGACATGCCGAAAGTGAAACACACCTCACCTAGGTCCTTAGCTGATAACAACCTGCTTGGATAGAGGTATGCTTCGTTGCGAGTCGCAAACCACATCAAAGTTGAACTTACGTGACGGTCTTGTTGTTTCACTGTTATCGCACTCATGGCCTCCCGTGTCATAACACCCAAGTTCCTCGGCCGAGATTCTGAGCTGAATAGTGTAGTAGAAAGCGCACCGCTGGAAGTGCAAACTACCTCTACAGCACATTTTCACTGTCAAGTCAAGTAACAGAACCCTACTAGCTAGCCATAAAGCTGCGAGACCGCCATGTTCAGAGTATGTCTTTGTTCAATATGCTGGAGCATGGTGGTTGTTATCTCTCGCTCGGCATCGAGGATATGAGTGAATCTTCAATCCGCAGAGTAGACTCGCTGAGCGTGCCGTTGACGGAGACGAGGGTGGGAGTGCTAACACGCAGACACTCGATCGAGAATCGTAGTTTCGGTCCTTCTACCGAAATATAGCTGGACTACGTAACTTCATTTGTAAAGTGTATCCCTGTAGTCGAAGGGGGGGACTATGGGCGAAGTCCCCTGCGCTCATCAACCCTTTTGTTCCGGGTGCCCACGAAAGAGTTCTGTCAGCCGGATTGTAGTGACTTTAAGCATCAATTTTGATCCGCCATCAACGGCCTCATGGATGAACAATGTGTGACTGCACTCGGGATGTCCGACATGCTTATATTAGTCCAGCTGGGAGGTCGCTGTGAATGCCACTGTTATCACCACACCAAGTGACGGTGTTGTGTGACATGCATAAAAAATTTGACGAGGAGGCAGGTGGTGATTGGTGTGAACAAACTTGAAAGGCTCGAACCATTCCCGCGGGATGTGGCAACTCGAGATCCATGACGGACATCAGCGAAAGAACTGAAAGGTATCAGCTTGGGTTCCGGAGTAGAAATCCTGTAGTTGAGTGTGTCGATGTTTTCGGGAGCGCAACATTCTGAGATACGAACAGGCTCTACAATACGGTATCCAAACAAAAAAACGTGGTGCTGAGTCAAGATATAAAGTTCATTCCTTTTGTCTCACACTCGCTTCCGGTGTCGCATGCCGCGTAAAGTAATGTAGACTAGACGTTCCAGATCCAGATTGACTGACGGTTTCGAAGGTTGGAATTTGGGGAATCGAGAAGCATGGCGGGGTGCATATCTGTGCAGTAGTGTCGGAGAGAATTGCGTAGCGCGTGCGTTTTGAGCCATTTTTCACCCGGCCGACGAAAACTTTACGATACCCAAAATCTAAACAGTTAGTGGTTCGGTTGGTGAGCTTATAGCGTACTGCTAAGATACCGGTAAAGTAATGTTAAGTAGCTAGTGTTTGCGAAACCTCATTGGTCACAGGCCTTGGTTGTACGAAAGAGGACTCTTGCGACTTATTACCATGTTCGGTTAAGGAGAGTTCGACGAGTCGTTGACAGATTGGGATCCGTGCCTGGCCGGCCCGAGAGGCTGGCAATGGCCATCACTGTCAACCGGTCGGGTGCTCGGACATGGCAATGGGAAAGATCGGATGATTGCTATGGTACATACTTGTGGTTGGCCTGGTGGTTTTCAAATGGAAACTTTTAGGGTGACTCGATGGGATCGAGTAAAGGTAATCTCTTTTAGGTTCAGACCAGTGGTGCGGGGCAAGATAGACTGAGATAGCCGCAAGATAGCTTATTTGCTTATCTCTGGTCTTTTAGCGGGCACTAAGCCCGATCAGGCCTGGTGACGCTTTCAAGCACAAAGAGCCCTGCATGGCTGCTGCCAAGAAGGCGAGCCATTTCTGTCAAGTGCTACTACCTAGCCATCGACAGCCGATAACAGATGGACGAATCATGATGAGGGAATTGAGGGAAGCTGAGTCCGGTCCAAGCTTGATCAGCTGGAAAACATCCAATGTGTTGCCACGCCGTCACCAGCAGCCTTTTTTTTTTTTGGTGCCTTCACTCGCTGCCTGGTTGTTCTTCCGTGCCCGCCAGCAACAACGTGCTTCTTTGCTCGAATGGGCGGACTGACGCTACCGTCGCACGTCCGCTACACTACTTAGTGTACCGTTGGATGCCCCGCGTGGCCGGATTCAGTCCGAAACCATACATGATCTTCACTGCTTCTGATATCATCTGCGACACCTTTTTTGGATATAATTTTTATTTTTATTTTTTTTCATTTTCTGTCTTTCCCTCGGACCGCCCATGGCTGCCCTTGGTTCTCTGCCTCAACGGACAAGACTTCCAATCCCCCCTTGAGCCCATGAACCCGTGGTCCACCTATCCCCATTTGGGTGAATATGGACCTCACTTCTCCCCTTCCGTTCTCCAGCGAGGAGACCCTAGCAGCTGCCTGGTCATGCTAGCGTGGCGCCGCGTGGGGGCTCCGGGGGGGCTCGACTCGGCTTTTCCACATCAACACACTCGGCGAGCGAGACAGTCGATAGTACGACACTCTCCCGATTCTACCCCAACCGGGAATTGAACAAAGGAAGCACACTTTGCCCCACATGACATGCGTTCTGCAGGCAGGGTAGGTCTGGGTATCTTTGTGAGATAGTGTTGCATTGCTCGGCCTGATATCATGTCAATATTGTATGTCAGTGGTACCTGACAGCCACCACTGCATTACAGAGCATTGCCAGAGAGCGTCTTCGATGCAGATAAAATCAACGTATTGCCCCCTTCCCATCCATTCGTCTCCTTCTCGTCTGTCAATATCACAAGTGAAGCTTTGCCACTCCACCTTTTCCACCCGTCGAACACCAACCCTCCGACTCAACACAACGAGACCCGCGGAGCATATACCCCCCGTCAACCTGCTCCAGTCCCTTTCCATTTTCTGGTCACATTTGGCAGCATTCCGTGCTCCACCCCGGTTGTTCGTCGAGTCAACAAATCGTCCAGGTTCCCCTTTGAAGAAAAGAGCCAAGTGAGAACCCCTGCCTTGTCTGCTTGGAAAGAAGGCTACCATCGGTACCAATCGACCGACCAAATCTTCATCGGTCTTCGCTCCTTCCACCCGGTCTCCGTTGGCGGGAAAAGAAAAGGGTCAACGTCGTTGCCCAGCCCTCCTTTTACTCGGCTTTTTGCTCGACTGCGGTTCCCCCGCAATTACCCGTTGCCGCGCCACCTCCACCGGATCCTCTAGCAGAAAAACAGAACTGGCCAAAAGGCCCACGGCCCGCGAGAAAAAGGGGAAAGAGAGAGAGGCAGAGAGAGTGAGAGAGAAGTTCGTGTGTTGCTTCGAGAAAAGAAGAATCTCGTGCTTCCACCACCGAACCAGCGCCCCTCCCTCGCCTCTCGTGTCGACGACCACGCCGCCAACTACCTGGCCAGCTCAGGTCCTCTCACCAAACAATCATTACCAGAAAGGCAGGATGGCAGAGAAACTCAGCGCCGTAAGACGCTGGTCAAAACGGCTGGCCGTCGAGGCCGAGCCCGGGCTCACCACAGCCCAATTGATGGTGCGAAACCTTGTCTCTTTGCCCTGATAACCACATGATAGACACTCGCTCTTCACTCGGTCTCATCGCATTCGCATTTGTTGGAATTGCCGCAGCCCAAGACTGACACTTGCCGTTTCCCTCACAACAGTTGACGAACCACGACCTGAAGCCCGTGGAGGCCGAGCGTCGAACATGGGGTGCTTGGAACTTTGTCGGCTTTTGGATTGCTGACTCGTTCAACATCAACACGTGGATGATTTCGTCGTCCATGATGGTGAATGGCCTGTCATGGTGGCAATCGTGGCTGTGTGTTTGGATCGGTTATGCCATCTCGGGCTGCTTCATCTGCTTGACCGGCCGCATTGGTGCTACTTATCACATTGGTTTCCCCGTCGCCAGCAGATCCTCCTTCGGCATCTGGGGTAGCTTTTGGCCTGTCCTCAACAGAGCTGCCATGGGTATGTGGCTTTCACTCCTTCCATCGTCTCGTGTTGATTCATACATGGCGAATCTTTTCTTTTCATGAGTGCTCTTTGCTAACTTTGGTGGAAATAGCTTGTATATGGTATGGTGTTCAGGCTTATATCGGAGGTCACTGTGTGTATCTCATGATCCGATCCATCTGGAAGGCATGGGTAAGTGACTCTTTATATCAATCCCCTAACACCATGTTCATTCTAACTGTAAGGTTCAGGACCGTGACACGATTCCCAACACCTTCTCTCCTACATCAGGCACCACGACAGCCGACTTTGTCTCTTTCTTCATCTTCTGGCTCTGCTCATTGCCCGCCATCTGGTTTCCTGTTCACAAAATCCGCCATCTGTTTACCGTCAAGGCGTACTTTGTCCCCTCAGCCGCCATTGCCTTCATGATCTGGGCCATTGTCCGTGCCGGCGACATTGGCCCCATCATCCGCCAGCCATCTTCCCTGAAGGGCAGCGATCTTGCCTGGGAGTTTGTCAAGGGCATCATGACCTCAATCGCCAACTTTGCCACGCTCATCGTCAACGACCCGGACTTTTCTCGTTACGCCAGGAAGCCCAAAGACGCGCTCTGGCCCCAGCTCTTGACGATTCCTACGGGCTTCGCCATCACTTCGCTCATCGGTATCCTTGTCTCATCCTGTTCGTTCTCGATATACGGCGAAGCTATCTGGGATCCGCTCAAACTGCTGGAGAAATTTCTGGACGAAGGCAATTCGGCCGAGCGCTTCGGCGTCTTCGTCATCGCTTTCGCCTTCTCGCTCGCCCAGCTCGGTACCAACATTGCCGCCAACTCGGTATCCGCCGGCGCTGATCTGACTGCTTTGTTGCCTCGCTGGATCAACATTCGCCGTGGTGGTTATATTTGCGCGGCGGTCGGTCTGGCCATGAACCCCTGGACCCTCCTCAAAACCAACAACCAGTTCACCACCTATCTCTCGGCCTATAGCGTATTCCTCTCCTCGATCGCCGGTGTCATTATTTTCGACTACTACGTTGTTCGCCGCGGCTATCTCGAAGTCAAGGAACTATACGATGGACGCAAAACCGGACCCTACTATTACACTTGGGGTATCCACTGGCGCGCCTATGCCGCCTACATTGCCGGTATCCTGATCAACGTGGTTGGCTTTGCCGGAGCGGTTGGAAGGAAAGTTCCGATTGGAGCCACCTACATTTACAACGTCAACTTCTTTGCCGGTTTTCTCGTCTCTGGTGGCGTTTACTCGCTTCTCTGTCACTTCTTCCCCGTCCCGGCCGTTAGCGACAAGTGGATGGAAGTTGGTGACGAGATTGAGGACCTCAGGGTTACGTACGACAGCGACGGCGCGACCGGAAGTGGTCATGAAATTTATGTTGATCCCATGGTTGGAAAGTCCTACAAACTGGGCGCAGATGACAGCAAGATTGTCTAGGAAGGGCAGACATATCTTTAGACTGATGTAGTTCAGCGCACACTACTTATACGCTATACACGCACTCACCAACACGGGAACGAAGTAATGCGGTTGGTCTTAATTTTTGCATAGACAAGGCTTCTTCCGGAGAACAGGTGACGAGCCAGGTTTGGTTTTGTTACCTCTAATAACTCGAGTTTTTTTCTCGAGTTTTGGTGTTGGGACTGGAAATGCCACGTACGCGGACTAAGACGCAATGATAGTAATTAGGGTAGGCTTAGAGAAGAGCGTGTTGTTTGATATTTTGGTTAGGAATACCCGGTTGGCTACGGTTCACGACTTGATGAGTTACGAGTAATGATAATGAAGAGAATACGTGTTACACGTACATACGTTCCGTTCATACTTTGCGTTGTGTGTATATGTTGTATATGTATGTTCATTGCGCGTGGTGATTATTTGTGTGTACTTTGATTTGTTTGTATGTTTGTCCCCTGTCTTTTAGCTCTTGTCCCCGTTAGAACACATCAAAGTGGGATGTTCTAGAGTATCACTTGGGATATCATATAGGTATCACCAAATTCTTGCCCTTATCGAACACGAGTAGACTTCAAGATCAGACGGCAAGCTCTCAAAGATAAGCTCAGCCTCACATTGTGTCATGTCTACTTACCTACCTAGCGACCCTTCTTTGTCTGGCAATCATTACAGAAACTGTTTACTTTTTACTGGGGATTCGACAGGCGAGAACTGGGACTTGAATTGACGGTCAGCACGATAAACATGAAAGAACCAGTAGTTGCTTCGCCGTTACCATACTTCCATGCCCAGCTTTAAGCTATATGGCACTTTTGCATGCAGATGACCAAAAGTGTCAGACAGCCACTTCCCTATGTGAGGGTTGGAGTCAAAACTTGAACGAGTCTTCATTGTTGAGAAATTGTCGAGTGATCTCAAGGCAGCTAGGCAGCTCTTGGAGCATATTTGGGGAAGGCACGTCTGGACTACTGACTTGCCTACAAAATGGAAGATTGGAGGGTGTGCGGCGATAACGCTCGTCGCCCAACGGGCATTTAACATCTACTGTTTCCATCTCATTCTATTTCTCTCATTTAGCTTTTGGGACATTTGTAGGAGCGCACTTCCTTCCCGTCCTTTTCATCAACTTGTTGGTTGGTTTTCATCGCCATTGTTATCACCATCTTCTTGCATCCTTGTCGCCCATTCGATGAGTGGGCTTCCATTTCCCATCACCACTCGCTTTTGGTATTTCCAAAGCTGCCCAACTCTCTCTTTTCACTCTTCCGTTACAATCTCAGAATGAAGTACATTTTTTTCTTTTCTTCCTTTTCGCCGTCGCCCTTGTTACACCTCCGTCCCTTTCGCTTGTCCTTGGCTTGACACTGAGGGGTCGTCTCTCGAGTCTGAGATCTATGGTAGCATCGGCCCAAATGCATGAATGGCGCGTCAGCCACTCAGGTAAGTGCAAGGTAAGTCACGTTTCTTCTGCGTGTTTATTTACAATGTCTGGTTTGCTTGACGAATCTCTCTCTCGTTGCGAGTTGAATGGTTTATCATCTGTCTGTCTGTCTTGTTCTCTGTCCCGCCACAACCATATCATTCGCCCGCTTCTTCAACCAGAACTTTGTATCCATGGAACCCCAAGAACCCTCAGAGACGAAAGCACCTGAGACCAGTCCACAGGATTTTGCGTGGCGCAAATATTGTGATCTTTGCTGCGATATCAGTCAAGATGACACAAAAGTGCGCCCATATCAGCGGAAGCCCATGGAAATACACGAGTCAGCAATGGAAGGATGTTGGACCTGCTGGTCCATTCTGCTTACTTTTGAACATTTTGTTGGCGCAGAAGAATTCTTGCATGCGCATGAGATCGGGTTTAGGGGAATCTATAATGGATGTGCAGAAATAGAGCTGTATCGACCCGGCAGCGGTCGGCATCGAGAGCTTAATCTCCGATTCTTTACCACCGGTTAGTTTATTTATGCTCTTACGAATTCCTTCGACCGAGCTCTACGCTTAGTTGGCCATGATTGTAATTAGATACCATGCGAGCAAGGCATCACAGAATATTTCACTGATGTCCACGCCTCCACATTTTTCAACTAACACTCACCAGATACAAGACCCCCCTACACGCCATGGACGGCGATGCTGAAACCCCTTTCTTCTATCGATGCCTCAATCCGAGCCAAGTCTCTTAAATGGATAGCTAGGCAAATCAATGCCTGTTTGAAAGAACACGACACCTGCGAAGATACTTCGGTGTCGAATCTTCCGACCCGCGTTGTTGACGTCAACTATGCACCTCAAAGAGTGCGTATCATACCAACCAATGGGGCTAGTGGAACGTATATCACACTCAATCATTGCTGGGGTGATCCGGGTCTCTTGAGTACCAAACTCACCGCTCATAATCTCGAAGAGTATATGAATGAGGGTATCTCGATTGAGGATCTCCCACGCACATTCCGGGATGTGGTCGAGTTGACCAAAGACCTTGGCGTCTCATATCTGTGGATCGACTCCTTGTGCATTGTTCAAGCAGATCCAAGTAAAGATATGGAAAGTCACACCAAGATGGTGAGAGAAGACTGGGAGCGAGAGTCCGCCTCCATGTGTACGATTTTTGCTGGTTCATACGTCACTTTGGGTGCAATGGCTTCTCCTGATTGCCAGGGAGGTCTCTTCGCTCCTGTCGAGCATCGTGTTATCAGTGCTGATACTCTGCCCGATGGTTCCCATTCCTATCTCTACGCAGAGGAACACCACAATCACGACGAGAAATATCTTCTCGAATCTCGTGCATGGGTTTATCAGGAGACCCTTGTGTCGCCACGCACTCTGTATTTCTTAGGTCGCGAGGCTATGTTGCTCTGTCGAGACTACCATTCATTCTAATGTGGCCGACGTGACCTCGCTTCAGGGCCAAGCATGGATGGAGCAGGCAGACAGACTGCTTTCTTCAAACTCCCTGCGAGAGCTACCAAACATGGGGCTGGAACTCAGTTAGACACTTCAGTTTCACGGGTCAAGAACAAGTTTGATAAATCACTTCCATGGGCCAAATGGCAATTGCTAGTCGCTCGCTATGGCCACCAAACCGACATTAGTTTTGCGAGTGACAGACTCATAGCAATTGAGGGGCTTGCTGGATATTTGCAGCACATGAGGCCTGGCGAGCGCTACTTTGGGGGAGTTTGGTCGGGCTCATTTACCAAAGACCTGCTCTGGACAATAAGAATCCACGGCCACGAGCGACTGCGAGTTGGTCCAGATACCACCAAGACGAATTGGAGCAGCGAAAAGTGGCTTTTCCCGACATGGTCATGGGCCTCGCTGAGCGATGAGCGGCATCGTATCAATGTAAGATACAATGATTTCAGTGAGAGGGTGAACCTCTCCCTCCACGGCCCCGAATCAGACGAGGAGCAGCTCTACCCGGATAGCGCCTTCTTGTTACGTCCTGTCGGCGAGCCTTTTGCACAAAACAAGATAGTAAACGGACAACAAAAGCCTCAGAATCCCACCGAAAAGAGGCGCTATTACGAACTCAAAGTGGAAGGCATTCTCGTTCCAATCCCACGGTCACTGTTGTTTACAGGGGAGGTGGGAATGTTTCTCCCCAAAATCCACTGTAACTGGCGCCACTTCTGGTGTGACTTTGGGCTTCTCGCCTTCCACGACTGGTTTCGTAAAGAATATCCTGAAGGATCTGCTGAGCCAACGTTTTACTGTCTGCGTATGATGAAATACATAGGTCGGTCTGGACACTATATGGGCTTGGTGCTCCGTTGCGTGGACGAGGAAAACCAACTTTACGAAAGGCTTGGGGTCTGGGAACAGCGGTATGTCTTGAAAATGGGCGACCCTGAAGAGTTTCTGGACGAACACAGTTCCCGTTATCCTGCCCCAGTGGTGCTTCTAGATTGCTGCTCTCTTCAGATGGCGCGTGTGAGATGTTTTTGTCGTCGTCCTCTCCCTCCTCCTCCTCGTCGTCGTCGTCGTCGTCGGTGTCGTCTTCCGGGGGGTCAAAGCACATATACCGTACAACCTTCCTAGAAAGCCACTGCAGCCTCCCTTCCATCTTCGCGAACAGTTCAGCACCCTCCGGACAAAAATGGAACCTTGCATGCACCTTTCCATACGCCGACTCGTACCGTCTCCGCGCATACTCGCGGGATTCGTAACAGATATGGGCCAAGAGCGGCGGTTGGCAGCTGAAGAGCATAGGATTATAAACGACCCCCCTTCTGGGTTGTCCAAATGGGTACTTAGATACCAAGTCGTCTCTCTTACGGACATGCTCCTGGATGCCTGGAATGTCGCATCGGCATTTACAGGATATGTTGGCTGCAAAGATGTCGTCTTCTGCGATGAGCTCGTTCCATATCATGTCGCGGATTTCGCGGGGTAGGGACCAGAATGTCACCCTACTAGTCTTGGTCGTGGTCCGCGTCATCGTCGTTGTCATCGTTGTCGTCGTTGTCGTCGTTGTCGTCGTTGTCGTCGTTGTCGTCGTTGTCGTCGTTGTCGTCGTTGTCGTCGTTGTCGTCGTTGTAGTCGGCGTCATCTTAGCTGACATCCCCGTACCCTGTCGCGGCTCATCTGGGTCAACCCCGGCGCTTGGTGTAGGTGCGTCGACTGGTTGCTTTTGTTGGTGTTCTGGGGTTAAGGACGTGAACAGATCCCTAACATTCTTTACGCGGACTGCTTCCGCTCGTTGGTTGATGATTTCAGCTATTGTTACCGGCTTGGTACTTCCAGCCTCTGCTATTGGGGGACTGAATCAGAGTGCTCAGGATGAATATTATTAATATGATGATAAAGTTGAAGTGGATGACAGTAGGAACCGAGTAAAGAGATCAAGATGCGCGTGAGTGGGGGAATTGGATGATGGCGTTTGAGGGGAGACCGCCGAAATCACGAATGTGACAAGGCGTTGCTTCCGCCAACATGCGTCGGATACGGCAATGGCAGTTGGCTCAAAAGAGGAAAGAAAGACGGGAAAGAAGGGGGAAAGAATGAAGGGCAAACTCATCGGTCTTATTACGATTGACTGCATTCCCTCACAATCTTCACCGGTCGAAAATATTTTCCATGGAAAGATTTAGAATGAAGCTGCGAGGGGTAAAATGTGAGAACTCGCTCATCGCCCAAATGGGAATAGCGGAGACAGGGGCGGCAGTCCCCGCTGCAATCATGTCCCCCATTAATGCAACTTAGCTCGGGCACTATAGAGGACGGGTCGGAGTGTTTGCATTAAAAGGGACTTTTGCATAAAAGAAAGCAGGGGTCATCTCTATATACCTACACGAGAAAAGACGCTCAACTGTAAGGGTAGGGTATTAGTGCTTTTCGCGGGCGGTCGCTACGTAAAATCCCGGCCACACTACCTAAATTATAGCGTACGGACCGAAACTAAGCTTTTCGCCCACAAAATAATTGTTAATACTATTTGAATTTTGCACTTTTTATATTAGTACATTTCCGTACAGCCGTTCTTCGCACTTTTGTATACTTTTCGTATTTACTTTTTATAAAGATCAATAATATTAATAGTAAAATATTCGATATACCTCCCCGACGTAGTTGTACAGCTACTATAAACCCTATAAACTCCGATACTAATCGCCTATTACATAGAGGAAGGCCGCGGAGAATTATAAATAATTCTTAGACTTTATATTATATTACTTACTGTTAGAATAAATCCGTTTCTAACTTCTATTTAAGCGCCCATAGTACTCCTTATAGAATATATATATTATATACTGAATTTATAAAGTCTATACGCACCCAGTAGTAGATTAAGCAGTAAAAAGTTTAAGAAGCTTAAGTAGAAGCGGTCCGAATAGTAATTATATAAGGACTACCTAATCCGGTTTTTATAAATATATAAAATTTATAATTAGGGGAATTAGATATTTAAATTCTATTCAATAGTATTTAGGCTACCCCTTATATAGATTTAGGTCCGATAAACGTTATATACGAATTTTACAATACAAAATATTAATTAAATAAATAGCTTATTATTTATATACCCTCTTTTTAAATATAAAAGCCCTATTAACCTTTATTATAGAATATTTCTATAAATAACCCTAAGTTTAATAATTATTATATATAGGGTAATATTGCTTTGCCTCGTTAAAAACCGTTACCAGCCTTCTTACGTATATTATTTAAAGGGAATAATTAGTAGGCTTAGAAGTTCTAGGAAAAGTTGCGGTATTATAATAATATATTTACTTTTATATTTATAAATTATATAGAAAAAGCGTATAGGGGTAGCGGTAGGCTCTAGGATTTTCAAATATAGGGTGCTTTATACTATCTATAAAGTCCTTTATAGTTAAAACTAGGTAGGTTTTTTAAGTATGTCTAATTATATATTTATAACTTATAAATACCGAATCCTACGCAAATTTAAGCGGGGTAGTATTTTTAAGCCTTTTTAAATATAGATCCTAAGTTCGTAGAGGACTTTACATCCTTTCTACATTATTACAATCCGTTTATAGATATTTATAATAATATAAAGGAGTATTTTGAAGCTTACTAATCTAAAAATACTTATATTAAATTCGATCTTTAAATATATTTGTAATTAGTCGTATAAGAAAGTATTGATCGGAGGCGCGAAAACCTTCCTACTATAAACGAAGTTATTGGAATCCTTCCGGATATACTTAATAAATAGGATAGAGTGCGTAAGGATAGTATATTTAATTCTTTAAAATTTACTATTTTAAATTATAAGGGTTCCTAAGTATTTAATTATATCCTAGTTACCTACCTTATTTACTTTTCCCTAGTATATCTATTAATACTACTATATAGAAATTACGGGTTTTATTACTCCTTAATAAGGGTAAATACTATTATCCGTAAGGACGTTTATATAAAGTAGAATAAGTAGTATAAATATTACTTATTCCTACGTAGTAGCTAGGAAAATATTTTATTCCTATTTAGATAACTTTTCTAATAATAATTAATAAATAGATTTACTATAAATAATTCGAATAAATTAGATTAGTATAAGTACTACTAAATGGAAATCCGTACGGAATTATACTAGAATTTAATAAATTAAATTAATAATATAAATATTTAGTAAAGGGAGGGTAGTACTACTTCGAATATTAGGTAGAGAGTTATATTACCTATAAATTATATTAGTAATGCCTATTATAATATAAAATACTATTAGAATTCTATAGTTATAACTTGTAAGTTAAAAAAACCTATGTTCTTTATTACTATAATTGCAAATCTATATTAATTAGAGGTTAAATAGGAGTTGAACGGTCTTAATACTAGTGACCGGCCGGATATTATTAGCTGCGTATTTAACTTTAAAGTGAATATATTAGTTAAAGAGATTAAGGAAGGTCTTTTCGGTAAGTGTATTAGCATTATATAGACTCGAGAGTTCTAAAAACGGAGCCTTCTACACTGGTATATTTTAGTCTTTTTAAATTCTAACTCCTAGCGGGTTTATTTATAGCCGGAAGTTATAGACCGGGCTATATAAGTAGAATTTCCAACCCCGGAAAAGGATTCAAATAGCCAGTTTAAGGGTTTACTAGGTATTCTCTTAATATATAATCCTTGTAATATAAATAACCTGAAAGTTCTATATATAATTATAAACGAGAAAAATAAAAAGGCTGCGCTAAAGTATAGAAAGTAGTATCCTAAGCCTTATATAGAGAAAACGACTATTATTGAAAATACTAGTTACTTTTCTTATAGGCGCTATAATAATGGTATTTATATTACAAAAAAAGTAAATAGGAACGATATATAGCTAAATAATAGGGCGGTCGTACTATACAACCTATACTTAGTTTTAAAGTATAGATATTATATTAATATAGAGGTTTACTCTATTGTAAATACTATTATATATATTTATAAATATATTTATAAGGGTACGGACAGGACTATTATAGAGATTATAGAGCTGGATAAATTTAAATAGTATATATTTATATAGTACGTAAGTTTAACGGAAGTATTTATTCGGATTATAGAATAAGGTATTTACGAAGAGTATCTTCTAATTATATTTTTAATTATATATTCTAAGAATAATCCTTCTATTACTATAACTACTAATTTACCCCGTAATGGGCAAATATATAGATCGAACAGACTGCCTGGATTATATTAAAAGGGTTTTTTAAGTATAATATAAAATATTCTAATAGTCCAAATAGAAACGTTCTATATATAAATTTCCCTTCTAAATATATTTAGAAGGAGAATATAAGAATTTAATAACTATAATAAAAAGGTTCTATTATCGGATAGCTTTATTACGTTCCTCCTATAGCTGGTAAATAATATTTTTTATATTTACTCTAAATAAACGTACTTAAGCCTACCTCTTTTTAGGACTTATATATTATAAATAGCGTAATATATAATATATTTAGAGAGGCTTACTTAAAGTAAAAGTTTTTGAATAATAATTCCCGGTAGGAAGTACTATTTAAGGAGGCTGGAATTTAGTAAATTAGGCGGTAGTTATAGTATTTATTTGTAATATACTTAACGAACAATAATTTTATAGCGGATCTAAAAGGTATTTAAAATAAATTTATATATTTATTCTATAACGACCTACCCTATAAAGTAATTAGAATAGTAGGCGTACCTCCTAATTTATAGGATCCGTATATTAATTATAATATATACCTTATCGGTTAGCATTTTATTTAATTAGAAAAATCTATTTCTAGTATATATCTCCCGGAACTAGTATTTATATAGGAGCGGATAGACGGAAACCCGCTTTTACAATAGGAGTTATAATATAATCCGGATAAATAATAATAGTTTTTAAACAATTTTTAATCTAAATTCAATATTAGGTAGGCCGTAGTCTTTAATAAAATTATTACGGCCGTAGAAAGTAATTCTAAAGAGGCCCTCTTCTTTATATAGGAACTAAGAAGTATTAGAAAAATATTTCTCTATTATAAATTATATATATACTTTTGTACTTAGAATAAAGTAGTACTATACGTTGCGTCTTCTAATATTTTAATACTCTTATTAGAAGGCGGACGGACTATATACTTCCAATTCGAAATCCCTTTAAATATTTCTACCCTATAAATATATAATATTAAGAAGAATACCAACTTATATAGACTACTTAAATAGACTTCCTTAATTATTTAGAACGAGGTTCCTATATAAGACCGGGGGTATATTAAAACTATAAATCGTACTTTATAGGATTTATTAGGCTATAAGGGTATTTAGTTTAGTAGTATTCTAATAATCTTTAGTAGGGATTTTGCTTAAATTTATTTATAAAGAAGAAAGGTAACCGGGCGGAAATTGTATCTATATACTTTAAATACTCCCCTATTTAGAGTTACGTTAAAATTTTGTACCTTATAAAGAATATATATATTTAGAGAATTACCGAATAGACCTATATATTCGTATAATAATTATAAAATTTATTTTACAAATTTACTTACTACAAGTCCGGCTGGGTTTAGCCCTTTCCGGCTACGTTCGTTACTATTATAAAGGAAGACTTTTTATTCCAGATTTATTTTACTTCCCTCCTTTCTACTATTCTTACGGATAATATAGTCTTTATTAATAAGGTTATTCTTTATACCTACAATATATCTATTCGGGAAATAAATATAGAAATTCTATCCCGTATAAAGGGCGAGAATATTTAATATAACTCTATAAATATTATAAATATACCGCTAAATAAAATATAGGATTTACAATTTATACTAGAGTATTTACAAACTTAGGAGTTTATAGGATTCCCGCCCGGTAAACTTATATTAAAGAAGGGTATACCTATCCTACTTTTATATAATTTATACCCTAAAAGTAGTATATATAATAGTACTAAATTAATAGTAATTAAGATAGGTAGATAGGTAATTAAGGGAAGGA